TGACGACGAAAAGCGAGAAATGACAAGCATGCGAAACAGACGATGCGAAAATCGTGATGACGAAAAGAAAAACACGAAACGATAAAAGAAAAACAAAACAAAAAAAAATTTGCACGGCACGAAACTTACAAAACCCGTGCGCAAAAAAAAAGAATATAAAAATTCAGAACAACGAACAGAAAATCAGAATCATGGCCGCGGTGGCCAAATGTGGTCGCAAACCCTCGACATTTTTAATTCCTAGGATAATAGGTGGAATATACATATACATATGTATGGGGTTGCAGGGTTTGAAAATCCCTGCATCCCCGTATATTGTTTTTTCCATTTTTATTTATTTATTTATTTAAAAAAAAAAAAAAAAAAAAAAAACAGGTACTAAAATCAAAAGAGACATAATAAAAAAAGTGAATTTTTGTTTTTTTTTATTTTTTTTCTGATTGGTGGTGGAATTAACATTTCTTTGATTCTTTTTTTTTTTTTTTCCGTTTTTGATAGACACACGTACTGCTTGATTGATTGATTGATTGATTGATTGATTGAATGTGATTGATTGGTTGGTTGGTTGGTGGGTTGGTTGGTTGCTTGGTTGCTTGGTTGCTTGGTTGCTTGGTTGGTTGGTTGGTTGCTTGATTGCTTGATTGCTTGCTTGCTTGCTTGATTGATTGATTGATTGCTTCATTGTGTGATGAATTGCTTGCTTGATTGCTTGCTTGATTGCTTGCTTGATTGCTTGCTTGCTTGCTTGCTTGATTGCTTGCTTGATTGATTGGTTGATTGATTGATCGGTTGATTGATTGATTGGCTGCTTGATCGATTGGTTGCTTGATCGATTGGTTGCTTGATTGATTGATTGCTTGATTGATTGGTTGCTTGCTTGATTGCTTGCTTGATTGCTTGCTTGCTTGATTGATTGCTTGATTGATTGATTGCTTGCTTGATTGATTGATTGGTTGTTTGATCGATTGGTTGCTTGCTTGATTGGTTGCTTGCTTGATGGGTTGCTTGATTGATTGGTTGCTTGATTGATTGGTTGGTGGATTGATTGGTTGATTGGTTGGTAGGTGGGTGGGTGGGTTGGTTGGTTGGTCGGTTGGTGGGTTGGTTGGTTGGTGGGTTAGTTGGTTGGTGGGTTGGCTGGATGCTTGCTTGCTTGCTTGATTGATTGATTGATTGCTTGATTGCTTGCTTGATTGCTTGCTTGATTGCTTGCTGGATTGCTGGATTTCTTGATTGCTTGATTGCTTGATTGGTTGCTTGGTTGCTTGGTTGCTTGGTCGCTTGGTCACTTGGTTGCTTGGCTGCTTGGCTGGTTGGTTGCTTGGTTGCTTGGTTGGCTGGTTACCTAGTGGCCTGGTTGGCCTGGTTGGCCTGGTTGGGTTGGTTGCTTGGTTGCTTGGTTGCTTGGTTGCTTGGTTGATTGGTTGGCTGGTTGGCTGGTTGGCTGGTTACCTGGTTACCTGGTTGGTCTGGTTACCTGGTTGGCCTGGTTGGCCTGGTTGGCCTGGTTGGCCTGGTTGGCCTGGTTGGGCTGGTTGGCTTGGCCGGCTTGGTTGGGTTGGTTGGCCTGGTTATGCTTGGTTGGGTTGGTGGGCTGGTGGTTTGGTGGGTGGGT